GGGACAATGGCAGCCAGCGTGCTGGCTTACCCACTTCAACTATGATGGCAGCCAGCGTGCTGGCTTTGCCATCTCAACAATGGCAGCCAGCGTGCTGGCTTACCCACTTCAATTAGGATGGTAGCCAGCGTGCTGGCTCATACCCACTGCAACTATGATGGCAGCCAGCGTGCTGGCTTTGCCATCTGGACAATGGCAGCCAGCGTGCTGGCTTACCCACTTCAACTATGATGCTAGCCAGCGTGCTGGCTTTCAGAGCCAGACCTACTCACCGATGCAAGGCGAATCAAAGATATACAGGATTTCTTGACCTGTGACTGCCCGAACATTCACTGATGACCTTTCTTCTTCGAAGCTCTGGACCTGTCACTGTCCATTGACATCTGGGTTGTTGCGCGTCCGCGCCTCCAGGAATAAAGTTTCCAATGCTCTGGGTTGTGACGGATATAATGAAAAATATTCCGAAAGTACTGGCCACACACAAAAAAAGAGACAAGCTCTCAGCCAGCGACGTCACCAGTGTATCGCGGCCACGACCTGGGAAATTATGAACTTAACATTCACTTGGTGCGTCAAGAGTCAGCTTCATCATCACATCACAATTACATCAACGATCGACGCGTCGCACAGATAACGTCTGAGCCAGTGACCTGACCGATCTTCAGCACCAAAGACCTGCGAAAGGATTTCATAAACGTCTGCCTTATCCTGGCTTTGCCACCTATCTATACATACATATCTACATCTATATAAGGATAGTATGGCAGCCAGCGTGCTGGCTTTGCCATCTAGATTATGGCAGCCAGCTGACTGGCTTTCCCACTCCACTATGATGGCAGCCAGCGTGCTGGCTCATACCCATTTCAACTACGATGGGAGCCAGCGTGCTGGCTTTGCCATCTGGACAATGGCAGCCAGCGTGCTGGCTTACCCACTTCAACTATGATGGTAGCCAGCGTGCTGGCTTTGCCATCTCAACAATGGCAGCCAGCGTGCTGGCTTACCCACTTCAACTATGATGGCAGCCAGCGCGCTGGCTTTGCCATCTCAACACTTCAACTATGATGGTAGCCAGCGTGCTGGCCTTCCATCTGGACAATGGCAGCCAGCAAGCTGGCTTCCACTGCCTGTTGTCACAGGCACGTGTGGAGTTTGTCCCAGAGCTGCTTCAGGGCGCCGACATTGCACATCGCAATGCAAGACTAAGAGAAAATGAAAGAACTATGTTCGAGGTGTAGCTTCATCAATTCCACAGCAAAGATCGAAGCATCGAAAACATATCCGAGCCTGCTTAGCTTGAACCATCATGCATGACTCCAGGCTATGTCTTCGGTTATG